AGGTTTAGGTGTTACCTATGGCCAACTAACACTCTATACCCACACAAACAATGTACAGGATCACCTATAGGTGTGTCATGTTGTATACAGTTATCATGTGCATTGTTTGAACTTTTTTCTTTCTTTCTCCGAAACTCACTAGAGTTGTAAAAAGGAGACGAGGACAGCCAAGACAAGTATTTATATAATCAAACGTGAACACTTCTCAACCAAAGGGGACTGACTCAACCTACAATAGGCAAACAAAACCAATACTCCAGTACTCACATTATAGACTGCACGACCCGTGGGTGTCGACTCATGCCCAGGTAGTCGTTGCTGCACCAAACAGACACCTCCCTCTTGTCCTCCAAAGAGCCAGTGAAGTTGTCGGCCATGGGGAACTCGCTGGCCAGACGATTCACCGTCTTAAACACACGGTAGGTGTGGTCACTCTTCTTTTCCACGATCTTCTTGTCAAAAAAGGCATCATATTGGAAGCGGGACACTGTGGCAAAAGAGGAAGAGAGAGTTTGCTTAATGCCGGTTGCATTGTGGTAGATGAAGCAATGGTTAACATTATGGAAGTCTCTCCTTACACAAACATACTGAAACTAACTGACTTTCAAGGGATTTAAAGTACTGTTAAAATGTGTCAGTGAAATATTACAGTGATTTTATCTGAGACTATTCAGAACATGAATGAAAACGTACTGCTTCCTGGCAAGTTGTCTTGCAGCAGGTGAGAGACCCTTTTAGGCTGCTGTTTCAGGAGGGTCTTCATTAGATTAGTCTGCTCTCCTTCTATTCCCATAATGTTGCTGGCGAAAGATGATTTCTTCAGCTGGGCAGAGGACACCTCTGAAAAAAGTCAAAAAGGACGAAAATATTCAAATTATGTGCAAAATGAGGGACAAAACTGTCTAGTTTGATAGGTTTCTCAACAATTTTTACCTTTCTTGACAGTGCGGATTTCCTGAACATCCTCTTGGAACTCCATGCCCACCTGGCGGACCACACTGCTGTTCTTCTGGCCCATCTCAGCAGCCAGAAAAGGGCATTTAGAGGCCGCAGTCTGGCCTGAAGGTGGCATGGGGTGGCCAGCAGGCAGATTGGACTCTCCTTCATGTTTGGAAACTGCAAACAGATAAGTGTAAGATTTTAGATTTACAATTACAAATACCTCTCACACGCACAACATTAATAGGTGTGTTATTATATAATAATGGATACTTCATTACTAAATTATCTGCAACTGCTGTTTAACTGGGTTATAAAGACATATCTGCTGTGTATTTGTCACACTGACCTTCACTAGCAGCTGTGGTGTCCTTAGTCCTCTGGTGGGAGGAGGTGGAGGAGCACAGGGCCCGTGCCATTGATGGAGCCATAGGTTTAGAGGCCAGTTCCATCATGATGGGGCATCTCTGCGCGTACACCGACAGCGTCTTTCTTGTCTGCTGTAAGAACGCCTGTGGCACACGAGCCAGGAACGGACAGCGGCGCACGATCACATCCATAGTCAGCAGTGGTGGTGATGATTGTCCAAAGAGCTGAGGAAGAAAAAAACATTAACACGTATGCCTAGGAGATTTCAGACTCTTTCTTCCTTGCGCATAAAAACCTGTTTGGCAAGGCATCTCTAATCACATGATAGTTTTTTTTCTCTACTTTCACATGAAATGCAAATCAATCCAGCAAACCACAACTCCTCCATGAAAAGCCATTTGTAGTATAAAAAAAAAAAACACCATCTCTGGTCAGGAGAAGTACTTTGGTAGAAAACTGGTAATTATTGGGTTTTGAACTTTTGACATACAAGGAAAATGTAATTGTGCTCATGAATTGAGAAAGGGAAACGTTTTCTTATGGAAAAGTACAAAAGAGTTTCTGTCTGAGGAACATTATCCAGGTACTCCAAGACATTTCCACTTGGCAGACTTTATGTTGACTTTTGTGAGAAACTGCTATTTTCAAGGTCAAAATATTAAACTTCTGCCCAAAACTTGCTTGTAAAACAGTATAAATAAGAATCTACCAAAAAAAATAAAACATTTGTTTTTTTTCTTTATTTTTGTGTCATTGGGCCTTTAAAGGAAACTTAATCACACTTCTTGGACTTGGTGAACTGCTCAGAACAATGCAACAGGTTTCTAATGACGACATTCAAATAAGCATGTTTAAGATTGATTCAAAAGCTGTAGAGAAGATAAAATTACACAGCTCAACGTTACTTAACACAAGTCCCTTTTATGTAATATACTCTTCCTAATGCTGAAGCCAAGTTTACACATTCCTAGACAGAGTAATCACTTAGAAACCCCGCCTCCACTCAGTTTCCAGGAAAGGGATACGAGCTCTTGGAAAAAAAACCTTTATATCTACAAAACAAATCAATAAGCTACATACACAGTTTGTTACAATGATAAAGTTGTATATTCTGTATTCTCTCTGTATATCAATGTGAGCAATTATAGCATGAGATTTGGTCTTGATATAGTTTTACCAGAAGGACAAAATAATGCTGTGGTAAGCCTCAACCTGCTTTTATTGCAATAATTACAGGTGTAAACACAGACCCCGTTGTTAAGCATGTATACGCCCCCTGGCTGGTCTCACCTGGTCTCACCTGGGGGCTCCCTCATCATCTCAGGGTTATAACACAAGCAAAAGTCACGACATGTCCATTTCTCACATGAACTGATTTGTAATGACACTAAAATAGCCGGTAGCTGCGCTATGGAGCACCCTGTTATAGAAAGAAAAGCTAAGACTTGACCAAAGCCCTTTGGGATAGTGATCCGGAGGACCGACCTTAACATTAGCTAATCTGCTAACACTAGCTAAAAAAAAAGAGTGTGGAAGATGGTCACGAAATAAGAAACTCACCTTTAAAAAAAACTGCACAAATGAATACAGGATCTTCTTTAACTGTCTCGCTGTGACCAGGATAAATGCTGCTTGGCTTTTCAGCTATAAAACTCTGACTGAAATCACCCTTTTTCGAATAAGGAGGAAGTCGACTGCTTCGTTATCCTGCACTGAGGACGAACGAAAAGGACGAGGACGTGCCAGTGCTTATAAGAGCCACAGCGGAAGGAAGTCTCGCGATATCTCAGTCACTGACGTCAGAGGGTCGTTTCAAGTAAAATAAAACATTTCCTTGAATGAGTCACGCATTTTTATCATATAGGGTCATTTCTTTGTACAAAACCTGATATGTTTTTATTGTTTTACTGTCGCCAACAGTGAAGATTTCTAGGAACTGAGGAGGACACAAGGACACTTTTCCATGTCTGACAACTTTATGTCAAAGCTGTCACCTGAAACGCTCCTTAATATGCCGAAGCTTTACACACACTAGTGTATTGGATTCCGTTCATAACATAGCTGATATTAGTTATCAATGTTAGCACGAGGTATCTGAGACTTGTTGATGTGGTGGAGGATCTTTGGGTGGGGTAGATACGTTTCATGTGTTAAATGTGACCCCTGGTGTTGAAAATGTGTCATTATACCTAAACCGGTTCTTGGCCATAAATTATATCTATTGGTTTAAAACTGATGAGATAATTTAATCCGTGCATTTTGAAGAAGTGGCAGTGGAGAAATAAAGGGATTTTTTTCCACCCACAGTCTGTCTTGAATGTTGTAAAATATAAACAAATGGTGTAACCTCAGATGCAGGTTATAGGGAAATCAATCAGCCTACAGCCCAGAAATATACAAGAAGGTCATCCTTTCTTCACGGATAAACCCGAGTTTTTGTTAAGATTTTTGTAAATATTTGATATTAATACTATGTTGTCGACGCTCTGTAATGTAAATGGTGGGGGAAAAGACAGAAAATTACAGCAAATAAATAATAATCCCAAATGTCATTATGTCAAAATTGACATTCCTTTTAGTAACAGTGTAAACCAGATCGCTTAACCAATGGTCCTTGTAAGGGTATGCTTAACTAACAAAAATAAATGTATTTAAATTTCAAATATGTAACCTGCAAAGCCTTCAAGCCCGGTGACTGAAGTAATTAAGTAGCATTATCTTAGCTCACTATCTGACTTTCTTAAAAAACTAGTTTAATTGCATTTCCCCCCTGCTAAACAGAAAGGAGGATTTCTAAACTTCAAAGGTGTGTATCCAATTCCTCTTTGTAAATAAGAAAGCAAATCAATCTGGCAGCATGTTTCATCAACAAAATACATCTATATCTGAAACGGTCAGACACTGCCCGAATGTGCTCGTCACGGTATTACAAGTCTTATGCTGCCCTCTACTGATCTTGTCTGGTTTATGCACTGTTTGCTCCATAGAATGGTGGACTAGGACTTAAAACATACAACAACTAAACCCCGGTTTACACCACATCTTAGAAGCTGCATCAGGCAAAATAGGAGGCCCAGGGGTGGGGGCCGTCTCTACAAGCAGGCCAGAAACAAGTTAATGAAGGAGATCAGGGTAAAGAGGACCTACAGTGAGACGCTAAAACACAGCTTCTCAGCTACTCTATATCAGTTTGGACAGGCCTGCAGTTCATCACTTACTAAAGGAGACCCTCCCCCCACCCTGCAGGTATAAATTGGCTGAAGACCTAAGTGTTGAAAAAATATTTAATAATGAATCTAAATGTAAAATCTAAATGTTATATCTAAATCTAAATGTTATATCTATATCTAAATTTTATATCTATATCTAAATGTTAAATCTAAATGTTAAATATAAATGTTAAATCTAAATGTTAAATCTATATCCATAGATATAACATTTAGATATAATATTTACATTTAGATATAACATTTAGATATAATATTTACATTTAGATTTTACATTTAGATTTATTATTACATATTTCTTCAACACTTAAACTTTGCAATTATTTATGTGTAAAACGAGCTAAATGTGAAGGATATTAACTAAATATTGAAAATATATCTAAAATATATATATAACAACGTTTTTACAATCGGCACCCCGTAACATAGGCCTACAGAACATTGACTACGACCCGTGCTACAACTATGATCCGAACTCGTAACTTCTAGTATGGATCCTTTGTGATAGGCTACTTCAAAAACAGTCAGAGATGTGAAATACAAGTAGTGGCGTAACTTCAGCAGAGTGAGCCTCTGTGTGAATAGACGATCTTTGCAGCAGACCCTTGTCTCCTGGTCTCAGGTCGCCCCTCCTCTTTCCAGCACGAGGAGAGGAATTACCAGTTTCCTGCCTCGAAGAAGTGAAGGCAGCCATGGCGTCAGGCCTGACCAGTGTTGTTGTGCTGGCCGTATGTGTTTTCCTAACCCCTGGTGTATCTGGTGAGTTTGGTTATAGAATCCATACAGCCTTTTCTTTGTGTCTTCAATTGTTCTTGTTGTTAAATGTAACGTTCACGTGACATCGTGTTTTAGGGATAGTGTCCAGTTAACGGGCTCAAAGTAACCACATTCAGGGCGATGACAGTGACAGTAGCTTTGTAAACGCTGTATTCATTGATTTAGTGTTAATATGTGTGTGAACTATCTTAGTCAACCCAGCAACCTAGGTTACGAGTCATTAACTAGACTCAGTCCCTGTTTTTAACACAAAGATTCAGTGAGACTTCACTTCAGACTCTTTTCGTCGTTGTCACTTCCTTTTTTCTGTAGTTATCGTTCCGCTTTGCAAATAAGAGACTATTATAATATAGTCGGATGGCACTTATCAAACCAGCGTTTCGATGTTGTTTAAAAAAAACCATTAGAATTTGCACAGTCATGTATAAATACAAACAGACCTAAGGAATAAAGGGAGGAAAAAACAATACACGGGACAAAAAGACTCTATTACAAGAAAGCCCTCTGATTTGTGCTCTAATGACGATTTAAAAAGACGATACTGAAGCTTATTGATGTAAAACTAAGAAGACAACATATTAAAACACGTCATTGTATAGTCCATTTTGTCTTTAAATGTGATCTTGTTACCTTTATAGATGTAACAGAGCTTTATTGGGCTTATATCTTATATTTAGACCATCAAGCCAGTAAATGAACCCATGTCTTTGTTGGGTCCGATCATTTTCACGCCGTACCGTATTATTAAAGATTTGAACACAACTGATGACATCCATGGGTTGGTGCAAACTGGCCTGACCAATATGTGAATGTTAATTGTCCAGACCCTGTTGGTTCATTTTAAATTGTCCAAATTATTTTTTATTTTTTTAAACAAATCATGTTTTAGCTTTACACATTACACATCAAGGGAAGCTGTCTTTGTTGTTATAGATATAAAATGGATCATATGCACCTAAACCCCCTCTTGATAACTGATAGCTACTGACCTGTCCTAATTCAGACTAGATATTATTCTATTATTGCAATACTGAACATGTTTACACACACCACAGATTTTTTTTTTCTCTTACTGAGCTGTAGGGGATGTGGACAAAATATTGATATGTCAATATATCATCATCCTGACATATGTGATGCTATTGTTGAATTGCTGATGCCAAATATTGATATTAAAAAAAATTAACAATAATAAAGCACACTAAACGGATTTCTCTGCCAATTAATTTCACTACGTCAACACTTCATGACTCCTCACTGCGTTGCTTATGGTATGAATGAAGGTAACATGCATGGGATAATGTCGGACAACACTGAAAAGAAACTTAAGGATGAAGCGTGATGACAAGAAACTGAAGCTGACAACAAGTTGCAGTACTCAAATATCCTGCCCTTCACTTTTTAAAGAAGCATTTTATAAGATATTTTAATGAATCATTCATTTCTGAAATGATATCAATAATTTCCGAATCGTTGTATTGTGATTGTTTTCTCGGGTCACATATTGCAGTGTTTCCACTACCATTTACCCCCCAACAGCAGTTGCTTGATGGTAGTAGTCGGCTTAGTTGACTTGGGAGTGCTCAGACATTGAGAGATGCATTCAGGTGCGCTCAGAAACGGGAGTTGCAGGACCCCTCCCAGCCCCCCCCCAGATCTCTAAACCTAGGGGAAACACTGTATTGCATATTGTGAGTTACTCTGTGTTTTCCACCTATTGTAGCCATGTCTTACTGTTAAAAATGCCTACACAGCTTTCACTTCAGTGGTACTTTTGGCTAACCTTTGCTCTTGTTTTGTGTCTCTGCTCTTTTACAGCAGAGAGAAGCAACTGTGAGTCCTACAGAGATGCAGCTAACGTGTACCACTCCTCCCAATCTTGCTTCACAGGATTCTGCTGTGGTTCATGCTCGAACAGATACTGCTGTCACAATTCTTTCTGGCGGCTTACAGAGGATAAACAAGAACAATGGTATACCCTTAAATGTATACAGCAATAGATGATAAACTACCTCTCCATACAGTTGACAGCCGCTTGAATGTGTGACATACGCGTAATGTAAATGTTGATGTCAAATGCTGAGACATACAGTAGAGGGCAACCATTGCTGTGGGATGTTGCTGCAGGCTTTATCGTACTTGCAGTCATAATGCAAAAAAACAAAACAAAACAGGAAGTGATGTCTTCCTGTGCTCGACCCCCCTCATGTAGCAGATGTCTGAAACTGATGGCAGACGTCTCTTTTCACATAGCAGGATCCAAAATGCGTAACGAATATGCCTTCCAGGGAAAGAGGTAGAGGATGTTACAAACTGGGAAATCCTGTATTGATTATAGAATTTGATGTGTGTCAGTCGTGCTGTTCAATGTTGATTCATTTCTTTGGTACAGGCGCTGAGAGATAGATTGGATATCACTGAGATTTTTCTATCTACATTCTGTACGTGTAGTGTTAGATCATCAGAAATATGGTTTAAATGCTTTTTTCTTTGTTCCTTTTTCAGTGATCACGACTTTTTCATCTCTGACTCACCTCTGCCCATGGTCTTCGGAATTGGTACCTTAGTCAGTGTTTTGCTCATCTTCATCTGCTGCTGTGTCTGCCCCTGCTGCTGCCTGTACAAGATGTGCCGAAAACCAAGACGTTAGTAACCCTCCGCTAACTATTCGTATTGGATATGATTGTATGTGATGCCTTTTAGATACCAAACTGGCAGATAGCTGTTTGGATAAGACTGACTGCTTGATATTTGTGATAGCCAGTGTGTCAGGAGCTCAGTACACGCTGTCGTTTGGATTTATTGATCCAGGGAGGATGCAATGCAGGTGCAAACACACTCATTTTTTGGTATTTCTCTCAGTAGTCTCTGTATTTACGAGACTTTTTAAGATATTAGGAAACCTTCCACAGCAATCTGCCGTAGATGGATCTAAGAGATTTTTTTGTGCAACCTCCTCACTCGGGTTTGTGACGATGCCAGAAATGTAAACTTGAACATGATACTAGATCTGTGATATCCTGTGATATTTTGATCATGTTTGATACCACGGTGATGAAAATAGAAGTCCTAGTCACCCACTATTGGGATGGTTTCTTGTATTCAATTACTGGCAGACTCTTGCACACTTTCAAATTTCACAAAAACACAAGAAATGTTTTGGAACCGAATCAATTTCTTTGTTCAGTTAAGGGCGCACTAATACCAGGCAATCAGTACCATGCCTAAGCACGCTTAACCCCTAAAGTCCAGTTAGTTTGACTAGTGTGAGTGCTCCCTTAGACAATGTGCTTAGACAAGTTTCCCTGCAATTTTTAATGGATTCATCCTACACACTTTTCTTATGAAATAGATGATGAAAATAGATTTTTCTTGCTTAATAAAATAACAGATTGTATCATTTAAAAATATTTAGTATTGAAAAAGTATCAAAAATCTTGACAACCTTATTCCTGACAACATGTGGAGAGTGGCAGTGTAGTTCTTAAGAATAATCAGGTTTATAAAAAAAAAACCTTAACGGGTAATTCAGGGTTTTCATGATAAGGTGACTGTAGAAGATGTCTGCAGTCACCCTTGGAATATCTCTGGCTGTACTGTTTGCATGTTCACTGGCTGAATCCTGATTAAGTTTCCATCCTGGAACACACACGGGTGGGGTTTCTGGTAAACAGAAACTTAAAAAGGTGCAAAAGGAAAGTTAAATATTTGCATCAATTCTACGTTGTAGCTTGATCTCTAACAACTTCTGTGAAGGAGGACAACATCCACAGTGCCCACTCAAACTGGTGAACTTATTCTACAGACATTATTTTAGTCCTGTGGATGGAGATATCCTGAATTAGCCTAGTAAGAATGAGCTGAGCAAGTTAAAGAAGGGCTACAACCATCCACACTTGTACATTTTTATGGTTTATTTGTGGAAATTAATTTAAGTATTTGAAAACATCTTAATGTTAACCATGTTATCCCATTGTGTAGATACATACAGTTACTCATGAATTTCCATTAAAAACGACTTTCAGTTCCAAAAGCTCTTATCATATCATCATTTTTAAGTCGTATCTTAGATTAAACTAAACCTGTAAACGTTCTTACTTTGGACCTCAAGCATATCACATATTTTGGTGAAGTAGCAAGGTGAAACAAAAGAAGCTGCTTAATCTTTTTCAAAGTTTGGTGAAAATGACCTGAAGCTATACACAGTACGTGTGTTTGTGATGAATTGCATATTATATGTAAGCATATGGAAGTTTAAATCAGAGTGAGATGAACCACGTGACATAAGATAAGTAATGATTCAGGGCTTGATATGAAGTTCAATCTGCCACTGGCTTGTAAAGATCACTGGCCCAGGAACATTATGATGGTAAAATAACAGTCAAACAATTTACTCAGAACAGCAACCAGACTGATCCAAAGTAATTTAATAAACAACTGTTTCTAATTCATTGACTTCTTCTCATATGACGTATTCTGTATTTGATCCTTGTATTATTTGCTCATGTTTATTTACCATGCTGGTAGCTGTAGGAGACGACTTTATCTCGTTGATATTAATATGAGGCTGTGTGAGAAACTCCTCACACATTGACACTTTAGGAGCTCCCTTAAGGGCTGACATGCTTTTTGAATAACTTTTATTGTTACCAAAATCTAGCCTTTAATCGAAGACGAAATTCTAAGAAAATGTCATGACTCTAAGAATTTCTTAGAATTTTGTCTAAGAACAACTCCCTATTAAATACGTCCCCTGATCTTTTCTATAGCGTACTCAACCTATCTTGTCCACAGTTTAACTGCAGTGTGTTCCAGCCATCTCTATCTGTCTGCCACTGTGACAGGAACTTTTCTCCCTTCTGTTTTTATACTCTGTCAATCTCAAGTCTTCCTGTGATATTTTTTCTTTTAAATGCTGATTTTAGCCTAGCTTTAGGTCGTGGACTGGTTGTTTCTAAAACTGTTTTTCAAAAGTATTTATGTATGCGAGAAAACCTGTGCTGCATTTGGTGTCTGAGTGCAGTGAACCCGCGAGTCTCGTATCAACAGCGTGTAGCCACATGCTGCTACAGCTGCCTCATGTAGCTGCACATTTGTAGTTTCCTGTACCCGAACAACAACACAATTCTGCTTACTGGTTTGTGACAACTTCACAACCTACATAAGATGCACCTTGTGACTCGTGGTTTCCAGTGTGTTGGAGTTTTTGTCTGTAACATTTTTAAATCAGAACATCAGGGGACTCTCATCAGAGGTCTGTTGGTCCCACCCACCACATGACTTTCATTACTGCAGACTCTCTGTTTTACTAATAACACAGACTTTGAGACACAGTCAGAACAAACTGGTTTAACATTCCCACAAATCACACATGTAAGTGTTTGTAGACTGTGTACAGTTACTGATAACAGGAGCTTTATTGAGTGAACTTCAGAGCTGTGAAGTAACTCCTTCCATACTTGTGTTTGTTTGTTCAACATGCTTTGCAGGGTTTCACTTGGCTATTTTTCTGTGTGATTCTGTGTGATTCAGCAGTGAAACCAATTCAATAAACCCTGATAATTGTTGTTTAAGGTTCATATTTAACTAGAGCACTGTTTTCGTTTTATCTCCAGAGAGATTATAGCCTTTCTCTATTCATGTTGCTGTTTTATTAATGGTTTGGATGTGTGTGTCTTAATGAAGGATGAATCTGTTATTGTCAAAGAAAAGGTTAAAAGCATCTATCTATTTTTAATTATAATAAGTCTTATATGGGTAGCCAGAGATAATTACCCCATGTATTCTGTGGAATACACCTCCAAGTCACTGTGATAGTTTGTTCTTTTCTACTTGAAACATCAGCACTCCAATTAATTTGAGTGAATTCCACATTCACGTGATGTCCCGCTCCCATAAATTCTCTCCAGTTCAGCTAACCAGGGGCTGAAAATATTCCTCACAAAATAATATTTCACGTACAATTTCTTCTTCTTTTTTTAAGAACCACAGCTGCCAGGCTGTTTCAGCAAAATATTTGCTGTATTTGCAGTTTGTAATTGTTTTTGTTTTGTTTTAAATATTAACTATATTAATATGGCAGGACAAACTGAAAGAGATTTGGCTGCATGGCCTTGACAAGCTGCTTACAAACAGTATCTACATGCACAGTGAAAGACTTGATGTGTGGATTTCCGCACTTTGTGTTTTCTGAGGTTCGTGCAATCAGAGACGGACAGATTGCATCCTCTGCTACTACAGGGTGTGTCTGATTCCACCATGCATCTTCTTTAGCCCTCCTTTGTGCCTTCAGGACAATATGTTTGCAGCTAGATTCCTTCCTCTGCTCTGTCCACAGTCGATATGTATTCGTGTCCACCCTGTAGCCTGCTTCTCCAAATCTATTCCTTTTTAGCTTACCCACAGTTGAGGGAAACCTTTGAGTTGTGAATATACTTGTCTTGACACCTGAGTGTTACACACTTTAGCATGCACTACACACTCTTACACTTCCTGTCAGCTTGCTCAGGTTTTTGCAGCTGCCTGTCTCTGGCAGAGAACGGCAGTCTTATGCAAAGGCAAGAATGTGGATTCCCCAATGTGGTCTGTTGCATGCTGGGATCATATCCAGGAATTTCAGAGCTCCACCTTGTGTGAGTCACTGTTTCCATTACGACCTAAGACTATCCAACGTCATTTACAGGAAGTGGTCATGATGACTCCTACCATTCTTAGGGGGGAAAAAAAAAACACATGGTGGGGTGGTGACTGGTACAGACACACATACTCCCTCAGCGTGGCTATTTTTTTTAATCACAATGCTGTTTCTCAATTTCATTAAACTTGCACAGTGATGGTTTATACTAAAAGTGGAAACATTTAGAGTCCCCACCCCTGGTTCTAAATTTATATACATGTATGTAAACCCAGAAAGTTACAAATCAGGTGGTAGTTTGTTTTAAAGCTGTGTTCATCTTTTCTTTAGTACGGACTAAATCATGTTTTCCTGATGGAATCCTTTATGATAAATGATGATGTGTCCCTGTCTTTTACTGCTCTCTTATGTCTGTTCTGTCTGTCTGTTTTTCCTATTAATAGAAATGGTGATTTAAAAAAAATGTAACCAGGAGGTGGACTTTATTCAGCCCTGAGTTTTGTCTGCAGGGCTCCCTTAAAGGCAGCATGGGCCATTCAACAAACAGATAGCGCAGGCAGTCTGAGAGGCAAAACCCAGGGCAAAGAAAGCATGTTGCTGAGCAGCTTAGTTTGTACGGGCTAAAGTTGACTCAAATGAAGGTACACATAAACATTTCTATTAAATCTCCTCTGGATTTTGGCAGCTTTGCAGCCAGAAAATAATGTTTTGAGAGTGTTTGAGTGCAATAATTGAACAGATGATGTAAAAGAAGTTCATCCTAAATCATTGGTTTAAAAAAAAAAAAAAAACATACTGGTATTACATTTTTTCCCCTCCAGAGATGAGGTAGAAGAGAGGACAATTATTATTATTATTTTTTTACCTGTGCCTTCTATACACTAGAAAACTTTGAATAAACTTTTTAAATACTTTTAAAAGAATAACCTCTGACACAAATAAAGTCAATGTTTCAGCAACTCAGGAGTTTTTAGCCACAGATTTTGCAGATTTTGCAACAACTTGGGATCTTGCAGAGTAACTAACTTTCCCATAATGCACCTGGTGGAAATTTACAACGACAGCTTTTGAGCAGAAAACAGAAAAGGGAAAAGAAATTGGTGGAGTTGTGCAAGAATATTTCTCTGATGTGCCCTCTGATTTGTACCACAACAAGATGATTAAACTTAACTATAGAGGAAGCAAAAATCATGCCATTGTTTCTGTAAGGGAACCCGCGGCTTGATTTACAGGGACGCAACAATTCTTGTTAACCTTTCTTCCTTCTCCACTTTACTCCTGTACAAAAGAGTCTTTCTTGCTTTCTCCTCAACTCCACCAGGTTCTCTTTCTTTTCGGCAGTGCAGGAGAACTGCACATTTCCTTACCTCCCTGCCATGTTTACTAGATTGCAGATTTCTGTTTGACTCTGGCAAAACTGCTCCGATTGGTTTTTGACAGTAGAACAACACAATTTGCAAAAGACCAGTGATAATATAAAATATGTTTGATTTTATTATAAAGCCAAGACAAGAAAAAAACAGCTCGGATTGAGTTTTATGACCACGTTGCAACAAACGACCAAGACCGCAGAACACGCACAAACTCTAACAAAATTCTCATGATTTTATTCAGTTTTTGGAAACTTGTCTTTGAAATCTTTTGAAAAGTTGTTTGGTGAAAGGCCAGCATTAAAGAATGCTCAGTTCAGTTTTCATCACTGACCGCGGGATAAATGCAGAAGTGACAAAGTGAAGTGTTGCAGCATATTCAGGTAGCAAAGACACAACTTCTCTGTACAATCTGAACTTCTCCACTGATTTGAAATGTTGCAATGAATTTCTCAAAACAATTGTGTAAGTTCAGTTCGTAAGTTCTGTGATCATGTGGTGGTATGTTTTGGGCACTTCATGCTGCTGTTTTATTGCTATGACTCACAAACGCATAAACCAAAAAATAGATCATGTTAACCCCACACTATCAGCTCAGCTCGAACTAGGTCATCACTTGAACAGGAACTCTGATTGAACTGCATACCTTAATTTACTTGCTGCTTTTTCTCATACATACTGTGTTTTTTTTCTTCTTCATACAGCTGTGATTGCTACCACCACTCACACCACAGTGGTCACCTCTGCTCCTCAGCAGTACCCCCAGCAGCCAATAGCTGGAGCTGCACATCCTCAGTCCTACCAGAGTGCCCAATATCCGCCCTACCAGCCTATACCTGTGCAGCCAGGTTTCGGGGCCCAACCAATGCCACACGGCTATGGAGCTCAGCCCATGTCGACATCACCCTACCATGGACAACCATTCACAGCAGCACAGCCGCCAACATACCAAGAAGCCAGTGAGTGTGGATTTTTTTGAAATAGCTGAAACAAAGAGTTACAGGTCTGATTGTTGGAACAGACTTTTATAAGACACTGGCATTACACATTTCTTTCTCAAAAACTGTGACAGAATTACATGTCGCCTGAACTAAAAGTTAATAAAAAAAAAGTAGCCTGTGGTTATGAGCAGTGTGACAAGTAGTTATTAGTATTTTCATCAGTTATAAAACAAGTAATGGGCAAACTGTTTTGGTGAAAAGTCTATTCTGCCACCTGCCTGTATCTACGAAATAATACATTGAAGCTTTCTGATTGGTTAAAATCATCTTTTACCACCCAAACAAAAAAAAGCCTCCGATTTCAATGATATGATGATATGAAATGTAGCATCATGTATTTACAAAATAAATCAGCTTTTAATGTTATTAAACTTAATCATTTGTTAATAAAATCTTTACACATTTATGGACTACACTCACTAAAATCTAGACATTATGTAGCATCTACCAAAGCCAGTGAAAGTGAATGTAATGAGTTAAGGGTTAATATTAGTGTCAAAGCATCTAACTCTTCCCTCATATGTTAATCTAAAGGAATACTTCTACAGAGTTAATGCTATCAATCATATTGCTGCTCACCTTTGCCACACAGAGGCAGTAAACTGTTTAATAAGTACGGTATGTGAAAATAGTCAAGCTGCTCTGCAGTGGAGAGAGCTGTTCCAAGGTAGATTTTTCAAAAGTCCTACATCGACCTACAACGACATGGGGATAAATAGAAGTTTTTAATCTTGTCGATTAGGTTAAAATAAAATGAAAATCACACAAGTGTTTTATAATAGTTGTCTGTGTACTTCTCAATTTCTCAAACGGAGCTTCAGAGAGTGGCCAGAATTGAAGGTTTTTTGTTTTTTATCAATAACTTTACCATTATAGGAAGACAAAAGTGATGATTGCATAATGTTTACTTTGAATCACCACAACAATAGTTCAAACCTCTGTTCCACGGGGGTAATGAAACCGTACTGTGTTGTTCTGACACATGTACCGGTAATGCCATTTTTAGTACTTCAGCGGAGGTGGAATAACTTCTGCTGGTATAAAGTTGGGTCATGTCTGAGGTTTGTAAACCAGGAAATGAAACATTTATGGTTTGACTCATTTCATCTTGTGGTTACTATCAAATTTTAAACTCTTTCATCTTCTTTTCTTTCTGTTTCTAGTCGGTCCTTGCTACCCTCCCAACCCTATGCCTTACAGCCAGGCTGCATACAATCCCAGCCAGCCTGCGTACCCGCTGCAGCCTCCTGTCCAGCCGCAGGCCAACGCTCCGCCTGGACGGGCAGACTACCTCGGCCAACCGGCATACAACCCGGACTTTGTTGCTCCCCCACCCAAGACCGGATAACTGACCACCACAGTGCTAAACTCTCAGCCACTTTAAATGTGCTGCAACATGTTTGAACTAGGCAGAGCTGCAAATGTGTCACAAGATGATGATGCTGGAGAACATCTGCTCTGTTGAGAAGTTGCCAAGTGATAATGTTGATTTCTCTTAGCCTGTATTGCATAGACTTACAATACACAAGATGTGCGATTGTTTTTTTTTTTATTATTATTATTGCTTGGTGGCTCTATCATAGTCAGCTTAGTTAATAACATAAAACCACCGAGTCTGATTTTAAGGTTAGATGAAGTGCGTTAGACTTTTCTGGCCTTGTGAACGTGCCTCAACATCTCCTTCTTAGTTCGTGTCTGTACAACTCACTGGCTGAACCTGCCTGACTTCCTGACTTCTTGAAGTCCATTCAATCTTTTTTCATTAACTTTTTCAAAATGTATTCTTCTCTGGTCTTTTTGTTATACATATATTGCTTTGTATGTTTACATCAGAACAAATCAGTTCTGAGTGTGTCATTATAAGCATGGACGCCTGGTTTTGTTCATTAGTGGAGGAGCAAAAATGGAAACATATGGAACGGAAAAAACGATTTAAAGCTCCTGTGAGGAACTTACAGTTTTTCAACAGAAATTATCAATGGTTTGCTATTGTAGATAATATAGAGGCCTCAGTATAACATTTGGTCTGTTTCATAACCAACTAAAAGCTCCGCACTGTCGCTTTAAAAGAAGTTTCCAATCCTATTTCATCAAAGGCAAGAAAAAGCTATCTGCACTACTCATGCAGTTGTTCTCTTTCGCTTCCAAAATAATAAAATCCTCAGGAGTAAAGCAAAAAAGTATTAGATATACTGCAGAAAAAGAGCAGGCTCTTTGACTGAGGATCTTTACTGCAAAGATTGCCTGATAAAATATTTTTTGAAAAGTAAAAAAGTAGGATAGAAAATGAATGATTTTTACCCCCTTTGGTTGAATAATTGGGATATATTTCCATTCATTTGCTCCATCAAGCAGGCATCTATGACTGTCAATAAACTACCATCATTCAGAGTTTCAACAGAAAGAAAAGTGTGATTAGAGGAAAAAGGGAATTAGCGTCATGTCATAAAAAAAACAGGAAAAGTTCACTTTAATTTTTTTTTCCGTATAAAAGGGAGATTTCATTTCTTTCAGTAATGTTTTCATTTTTTCTCAGGTTCTCATTCATTGTTTTCATTTTGCTCAGAGTACAGTGTGTAGCCGAGGTGAAATGCCCCACAAGCTTTGAATGAAATAACCAAAGGAGATTCTTTTCATGTTCACATAGTTGTATCATTGTTCCAAAATGCAGGAAATAACTGTGCCTTCAGTGTCTTTTTATCCAACTAGCAGTCAATGTCATTTGCAAGAGTTTAAAATCAAACTTTCTAGTTCCACATTCTTGTGTGCTGTTACTTGTACTTGTGTTACATTTATCATAAAATCTTCAATTTACCTGAAGTTGAAACATTTCTGCCATCAAATTGGGTTGCCCTGCAACTTGAATTACTTCATTTACAACCCAAATTAGCATGTAGTGAATCTATATGTAGTTGTTTTTCTCTGGGGAAAAAAAATCACCATTGCCTTATTAGCCTGTATAAGTTTAACAGTGTGGTTTCAATTTTTCTATCTTACAAAAACTAAACTAGGAAGCCTTTCTTGCTCTGCTATTTCATTTCACCTTTTTTTCTGCACCAAGCTGAACATGACAGCTCAGGTGACAAGACAGACTTTAATCTTTTGAGCTGCACTGTTTCAACTTTTTTGGTTTGTTGTTTTGAAGTCATTTGATTGTGGTCAAAAAATAGAGTACATTGTCCTTTATTTTTTGTTATAGGGACAGGTTTCAGAATGCCTTTCAGTCACATCTATGCTGTGGCTTATTTTATTTGTTTCTATTGACACAAGATACCATAAGTCAGCTACTGAAAGAGTCCAGGCTAATGTCATGCATGTCTTTTATTTTTGAGGAATGTTCACGTGTTTCCTACATTGACCAAGCAATTTGTCTGTGAACCTCATTGTAGGCTTGGCTTTTGTCTGTCCTTCTACATTTGTTCTGCCTGTAATTTCAGTCATCCGGCCAGTGCTGACTCTTCAAGTTTTAGAAGTTTCTTTATTTGTGGATTTGTGGATTGTAGCCATTTGTGTCCTTTATGAAAGAAATACCAGCATAGGTTTATTCTTGTTTAATTTGTGTTTCTCGTCCTACAATTGATGCAACTGCTAAAATATAATGTATGTACATGCTTTTATTTTGTTTAAAAAAAACACACCATTTCTTCTGCAGTGTTCAATAAAAAAAATATTTCTTTCCCCCAACTTTGGTTATTGAATCTTCATAACAGAAGAGCACATTCAGTCAGTTATAGTTTCACAGCAATAAATAATGTTCATCAATAATCGCCAAGCAGCTGTTCAATATCTGGTGCCTTCTGTCTTTAGATGTTCTTTTCTGAGAATAATATCCTAATATCAACATGCTGTACTATGACAAAATGCTCCTTTGGGCCTAATGCTGACTAGCATGATAATCTATGTACTCAAATTGAAACCTGAAAAATAACTCAATCTATGCTCACGGGGAAAATTGAATTACGCCGTCTGATTATAACCAACAAGATCACTGTCCATTAGTTGAGTGCTTCAATCACTCTGAGTCACCTCCACTTAAACGGCTTCCTTATTGAAGCCATACACGATATTGTCGATGATGAATGATGGGTGAGGAGGTTAGAATTTGAAGGCAATATACATCATGTGAAAAAACTGCAGTTTTTCCACAATTATTGTTGACATTATCTTTCAAAACTGAAATTCTATGATAATGCAAAGTAATTAATAATCCACTAATAATACAATTACATTTTTTTAATTGTGCACTATGTGCTTTTTCTTGTGTTTGCTATCCTGCTTTGCTGCTGTAACATTGTAAATTTCTCCATTGTGAGATGAATAAAGGATTATCTTATCTTATCTTACATGTGATGGCAAATATTACATAAGTAATATTTGCAAAGCTATTTGTAAAGCTATTTGTAAAGCTATTTGTAAAGCTAACCTTTACAATATAATAAGACAAAGAGAATAATTCTCTGTGGAAAAGATTTGGCTTTTATTCTAGCCAGTCCATGACATATCCTCCAACATAAACTGTTATTATAGAAGTCATTTTTCTACTACTGTATAAAGGTCTTTACACAAGGTTGTGTTGGGGTTTGTGAATAAATTGGGAAAGTTTGTAAAGTGTCAAAAGACAGTTCAAGGGAGAGTGAGGGCGGAGGTAGACAACAATTCAGGAAGCAAATTTGGGTGGGGTTATCTTTATCCACTTAAACTGCACAAGTAAGAAAACTGAAATGTATCAATGCAATACATACTTCTTTTTTGATTTGGTTTTATTGTAAAGACTGTTCTTTATAAAAAGTCAGGCTGCATTGATGATTGTAGCCTATGTCAAAGGAGAACATTAATATAAAAATAGCAAAATAATACATGTTGAATAATGGCAGCAATAGAGATGAAAAAGGGTGCAAAAAAACCCCATTTCTGAGCACGTTTTTATCATAGTTTGTGACAGTCACACAGTCTTGTTAGCTTGATTTAAAAATATAAAATGCCTATTGGCACAAAGTCACATAAAGGCAGGAATGCTGTTGGGCTACTTGCAATAGGGTGGGTCAGACAGGCAGGTTGAAACAATTGTCACACTGAAAAGTCAAAGTCATTTCCTCACTTCACTAAATCATGGCAGTTATGGTTTCAGGTGTCTGGTCAAGTCTTGTGGTAGTTTTGTGTGGCATCCTGCTCCCAGCAGTATTTGGTGAGTTTTAATTTTATTTGTGTGTGTTTTTTTTTGTCCCCCAACAAATTTAAGATGTTTAGTGAATCTTTAGTCTGATGCAGATGGTCAAAAGTGACACCAACATGTCTAAGTCAAGCTCAGTATCAGTCACTGCAGTCTTTTTGCTACACCTTTATGTGACTTCAGTTAGACAAATGAACTGCTAACTCATCAGTTTATGTTACACCTCATCATGTTTTATTTGTTACAGCTGAATACTGCAGCAGCTTTACGGGCGCAAATGGCTACTACTATGAAAAACAACAATGTGACAATCATTACTGCTGTGGAACCTGCAGCCAAATGTACTGCTGCGATGACAGGCGTTATCGTATAACCCAAGATGAACAATATTACTGTACTGGAAGGTGTGCTCCTGTTGTTATTTCACTTTCTGTGATGCGTGAAAGATTCAAAACATTTTTGAAATCATTTTGAAGGGAAGAAAAATAATGTCTGTGTTTTTCACCAGCACTTCCAACAACGACAAGCGAAGCAAACTTGCTACACTTCTGGGAAGCATCTTGGGGTCTGTTTTACCTGTCCTCCTTTGTGTGGGTCTCGTCATCTGCTGTGTGGCTCCTTGCTGTTTGTTCTACAAGAAGTGTCGAAAGAGAAACAACCAAAGACAACCAAGTAGGCCTAAACATCCAAGCCTTTCATTTTGTAAAGACTGTTAATCAGGTTTCATATAGCCAGACAAATGTGCAAATGCACGCTGTAATCAGAGCAAATAAGCATGAGTTGTAGCAAGGCTAGTTAGCTAGCTAGTTAAAACGTTCAATGCATGACTTCCAGCTCAACCCAATTCAAAGACATTTGACCCAATTAAGTTTGCTACCCAAGTAGCGTACACTTAACATTTGTCCTTAACATGAACTTCTTTACATTACTAAGGTGTTTGAGGAATCTGAATATTACAAATCAGTTCCCACCAATTATCAGTTTTATTTCACATTGGATAAAAACTGGAAATCAGAACTTTTTATGCTCACCCGTTAACGTTGTTTTATAGGTAGTTTGAGCATCATTGTAACACGTGCAACATGCAAATTTGGGTGGATACCAATTGCTAAATCTCTAAATCTCTTTACTGATTGACTGGTCACTGTTGTAGATTGTAGCATAGCCATGCCCTAAAGCATCACCTGCTTTTTCTATTATTTTACTGGACCATAAATCGTGAAGTAAATATCATCCTGCATTGTGGTAGATGTTAAAGGCTTTATATGTGATTTTGTGATCCAGCAGATGTCGCCCTTGAGCACCAGCATTGCTCAAGGGCGGTGCATTGTTGTGTTAGCATGCTAATGCTAGCGATCTTTATTATGCTCGTATCTTCACACTGCATGTAAATTTACCCGAAATGAGCGTGATCTAGAAACACAGTTAAGCAGTGAGTACAGTATGTTATTCTTCTTTTCTCTAGTCCCTCAATTAAACAACTTTTATACGCGAGGGAAGAGTCGGCCGCCGTCACACCGATGTAAACAAACTGAAGATAGACTCGGAAAACTCTGAAAGCCTCACAGACAGTGGGACTCGGGTGTTACACCAATTACAGACAGTCATGACTCACAGAGTTATTTTCAGAGGATATACTTGATTTCTATTATATTTAAGTGTGAAAAATTGCATATAAAGCCTTAAAGTAGTGACTTAGAGTAGACCATCTGCTTTTACACTGTCTGGCTTGCAGCAAGAGATCTGGCTCCCTGGTGGCCATTAAAAAGAATGCAGTCATACAGCAACTTTGCCTTTGGAAACATACTTTCTTTTGGAATGGGTTACTTCTGCCCTATAGGTTATATACAGTCGTAAGTCAGAACCAGTTACCAGGTCATTTTTGAGCCAGCTTAAAATAAAAAAGAGAATAGAATTCAGAGTATTTCCCTTGAAACCTTTCCCTTAAGTTTTTGCAATTTGCTGAAAAATGTAGATTAAAGCTATATTTTTTTAAAAACACATTTTTTCAGATGCCACTGTAATTCACACACCGCAGCAGCCAAACTCCCCCTCCAGACAACCAGGATACCAGCCTGTACCTGTTCAGCCTGGATTTGGAGGCATGCCCAACCCTAATGCACCACCTCCCTACTACGGAGGCAGTGAGTATTTTCACAATGTTTATATATGAACTACACTTTAAACAGTTTTCATTATGATTTAAAATCACAGATATATGTCAACTAAATACTCAGTGATTTATATCCTGATGCTAGTAACATATCATTGTTCTTATTTTTTAGAGACACTTATACTTATTTTTAAAGAATGAGTATAATTTGTGTTTTTTTTACATGTGTATTCAAAGCATGACACCACATACCTCTGTGTTAAAGAGCTTCAGCTCCACTGTCGACTAAAAAGAAAGGAAACAAATGTATTTATCTCAAAGTTGGAGCTCGCCTTCATCTTTGATCAGTGAGAAAGTTTCCACATACAAAAGACTAGCAATTGTGTTAAACAGGACTTAACTACAACTCCCAAGGTGCATTGTGGTAGGAAACATCCAATCACAGAGTATACAGGCACAGTGAAGGAATGCAATGCTTTGACAACAGATACTACATTTGGTTCACTGAAATCAGACATTGATCAGGAAAAAAATCAAGCCTCATAAATATTATTTTTTATTAAGTATGATGATTTATTTAGATACTTGAGTAGGGAAGAAAAGGCTCTGGATTGAGAACAACATACAGTACAACCGAGGCACATCTTGTCTTTGTTTATGTTGTTTATGCTCAACAACAAAACACAAACAACAGAGTCAATTCATATTTTTGTCTCTCTGGCAGATCCAGCTCCCCCGTCAGCTCCATTCTCTCCAGGTCAGCCGATGTACCCTATCCAGCCCAATATACCACCAGCATATCCAGGTTTATTCACACAGCCAGCCTACAACCCCTCTCACAACGCAAACCACTAAACTGGAGAAAACACTGGTCCATGACGCTATATTCAAACTCTGGTTGAAACACTATTGGTAGAGGAATGTGAAATGTCGGAATACTGCGTTGACACAGAGGAAACCCCTGCAGGAATTAATGTACATATATCTTTGGGAATCAATGTTTCTAAGGTATTTTTCTGTAATTTCCATTACTGGAACTCATTTTTTGCAAATTCTCTAAATTTAAAAAAACAGTATCTTCCTTTTTCATGACCATGTTTTTTTTAGCATTAATTACACTTTTGATGGTAGTGTTAAAAGTTTAAAATAGCCAAGTGCAATTACAAAAACATGTGTTTAAGTCCTGTGAAAATTTTTTAAAAAAGGGTGAAAAAGAAACATTTTGAACACCTTTGCATGGACACAACATTTCTGAATCTTTAACACTTCAGAATAAATCATATTCTCTGAACAGATAGTACTCAAATTGCTGACTCTGTCTTCGCTTTTCATGAACACTAGGGCCTGTATTCATAATTATTCTGAAAATCTTTTCAGAGACCTCCTAAATCCTAGCAAGTATTTTTAGCGTAGGATTGATTTAGGAACATTTTCAGAGCAACTCTGAGCGAGGAAATGACAGAAACCTTTATCTTAGTGAGGAGGGGTGGTTGACCCCGTTGCGAGGAAGACACATTTTTTTAAGAAGCTGTGATTGGAAAAATAAATTCTGTGATATTGGGCATAGAAGTACAGTGTGAAATCGATCAGGCCCAATCATAGATTCTAGTCAGACATGGTGTAATTATTAACACTATGAAATTAACATTTGTGTGACAAAGTGTAAGACGTTCTTTAAAAGTATATAGCCTGCAAGATGTTTGAAATCACATGGCCACTTGTGCAAAAGCCTATTCACTACCTCAAGCTGATCATTACATCAGCATGTGAAGAGGTTTAAATGCACCTGTGGAGGTAAAGACATGCAGAGAAACTCAACACGCATCAGTTTGTACTGAAAAAAATCAGAGATGGATTGAAATGTCTGAATAAATAATTGTTCTCTGTTCAGCCCAACTATGATTTGAATAATATTCTTAATGCAGTGTTTGAAGAACATTTCTACATTTTCTCCTTCACTTGAAAAACTCTTGTTAATAGTCCTTCTCACTGCTACTAACAGTTGTACACCTTAGGAGCTCTCTTATGCTTTGTGAATAACTTTCATCTAAGGATCTAGTCTTAACTTTAAGGGGAACTTTTTGGAAACTGTAACCACTTGACCTAACGCTGCTCTCTTTTTTAATAGACACTAGAGGTCGCCTCTGCCCAATTTTTCATTTGCTCTGCGATCAAGTCATTTTAATTTATATATTTGAATGATTTAACCACGCCTAAAATAGGGTGTTATATTATAATTACCTACTTGATACTTTGATTGCTCTGCTTAAATTACATGGATTATTTTGTTAAAGACTTTAGTAGTCTTCAGCAGAGCACTATACACTTGAATCACTACGTTCCCACAAAGCAGTTTGCATGAAGCTTTTTTGGGGTTCGGCATCTTGCACATTGAGGCCTCCTATAGGCTATACGTCAGACAGGTACATCATGAAGACTTTGGGGCATTCTCTGTTGCATTTAAAAACATTTAAGTCCATATTTCATCAAACACAACTGGATTATTTGCATAGATACTAAATAATGTATTCCCGTATTCACAAACATTCTGGGAATCCTCGCAGAGAGCTCCTAACTTAGCTTAAAAAATCCTAGAGTGATTTAGGAATATTCTCAGAGTAACTCTGATCGAGGAAGAGACACTTAGGAGCTCCCTTAAGGGCTAAGACACTGTGTGAATTACTTTCATCTTTACAAGGATCTAGCCTTAACTTTGAAGGGAAATTCTTAGAAAATGTCATGATTCTAAGAATTTTCTCAGAATTTTTTCACTAGGAGCAACTCTCAGTACTTAGGAGGCTTTGTGAATATGGCTCCACAGCCCTAAGTAACCTACATAATCATCAGACAGTTCTTTTGGATTACTTCAAGGTACTTTTCATCACGTGTTTGTTGTTAAGGAAACAGATAAAGTTAGCGTTAAATACATTTTTGTTCAAATGATTATGTGGTATTTCTTTTTCTTTTTCTTGCTTGATTTTACAGTATGAGAACTGTTTTTGCACTTGGTTTTCTATGAACTAAAAATTTCTTGATATTCTTTTTCAAACAGATGCTTTTACTATATATCCGCATTGTTTGCAGACTTTTTAACATTTCACATTTTATGGTTTGAACATACAGTGTATTCTTTTTGAAATATTCACAGTCTTATCTGTATTAAAGGGAAAACTGTTTCTCTCGTGTTGGCTCCTCTGTTTGGAAAAAAATAATCAGATTGTATATATTTTGGACTGATAAGTGTGATGTCACACTTAAAGGATCATACATTTATTACTGGAGTTTTTCGATTTGTTGGATACGGATGTATTTGACAAATCTTAGTAAACTATTATTTTGAAATGCTTGAACTTGACTGTTGTCTGTTTTGCTATACTTTATACATCTATCCCTTCATTTCAATGGTAAAAATCATAATTACTACTTTTATATAATAATAGGCCACGATTAATCAGTTGCATGTTATTGTAAAAATTAATACTTTTGCATTTAAGATTTACAGAGAGCTTTTAAAAAGCCAGTAATTTATTTTCATGCAAATAAGTTTCATGGTTGCAGCTTTACATATCAGATATTTCCTTTAGTTCATCATTTTAGTCTCTTTGGTTTTCTTTGAGATAATAGTTTTTATTCTTTTTAAACAAGCATTCTGGAGGTTCCCCTTCTGGCTCTGTGTAATTTTGATAACATTTAATTTCCTTTTCCCCAAACCAAACAGTCAAAAGGTTTGTGAAAATAGCCAGCCGATTCATCTATTGTGAAATTACAAGGATATAGCAAGTCAAGTAGATTTCTGATTTGAAGGCACGTATGACTTCATATTTGGCTCAGTTTTCCCAACTTTCTTTTCACATTTAATTTTTACAAAGTTCTGAATATTATCACATGCTGTTATTTGTAACAGCGTTGACCCTTTATAAGTATTTAAAGAGAAGTTTAGGTTGTGGTACTTTAATTTTAATCAGGTAAATATTTATATACAGTTTAATACTAAAGCACTATGTATAAAACTGCGTTAGCTGATTAGATGATTAAAGTAGGAAATTGGGAATTATATTAGCAAAATAACTTTTGGAGCTTTACAGTTTTAAACAAAGAACAATTTTCAGTATTTCACAACTAGGCTTTGGTTTCCAAACATGTACCATTTTAAAGGAGACGCCCCGAGCTTTTCTTCTTTAACTCACTTACAATGAAATCAGTGTTTGTAAAAAAAAAAAAAATCCATCATTTTATTACTAAATGTTACAGGCAAGACAAAACCACTGCACTCAGTACAGCCTCTTCCTGTGGGATCATGTGCAGTCCAAAAGCCACAGTGGGTGGACTTGCATTTAATCCCATAATAACCAGCAGCACTCTCTCTTATAGCATCCCACACTTTCCATTAATCAATACAGTAATAGTGCTGATTGCAGCTATCTCAGTCATGGAAGTGTAGGAGGGCTATATGAGGAAAGATGACCCCACCTGTACATATGGCTCCCTGCTAAAATAGGATCTCTCCTTGAAGTGTTGCTCAGACTGCTAATGAGCACTCCTTCAGCTTTCTAGTGCCATGGACACTGTGGCAGATAATCTTTACAGCCAGACATCTTCTCTTTTCTTGTCCTCCTTGTCCTCTTTCTTCTTCTCTCTTCTCATTTCTTCCATCCTTTGCTCTGACTGTGCTTTTGTTCTGTCGAAAGGCATTCTTGTTTGGCCTGCTGCCCGAGCTGCCATTAGGATGTTTTCAGCATTTTCTGGACATCCCACACACACATTTCTTTCTTCTTCCCCTCTGCTCAGAGGAATCTTTCTGGTATTTTTGTCACAAAAGGGAGCAGCTATTGGAAACATGTGGAAAATAGTCATGGGTCACGTTATGTTATTGGATACCAAAATGAACTTTTGATCAGGTTTTGGATAATAATTTTATAGTCTGCAGTGAGACAGTGTGATGTGTATAACTGCTTGTGTGTGGGAGTAATTGCTGCTCTCATGCTTTGTCCAAGTTGCTCCGAAGAGATACGGCCAGCCGAACGGTCCAACATGCTCGGAAATACAAACAGGCTTGAAAGTGTTTGTTTGTGTTTATGTTTTCTTTTTAAATCTGTAACATCAAGGATACATGATAAAAAGTTTCCACATTATTTATTTTGTGATATTGTTATATCCTGTGTTGTCAAACCTCATGGTAACGTTCAGTCTACTGATCTTTGGGTTTTGTTTTTACAGTATCAAAAACAAGCTAGATGGATAGCAATGGAATTTTGCAGATAGGCCTGTTCATGGTCCCCAGAGGAGGAATTCAGATTTTGCTATAATCACCAGCAGATTGGGCTGGTTGTCACCAACAAAATTTTGTTGTATTGCATACAATGACAATAAAGTGTCTTATCTTATCTTATTGCCTTTTGCGGTTTTAGTGGAATATTTCACAACTAAATTTAACCCACATTTATGTCTCAATCTGGAAACTTAAGGCTTACTACATTTGGTTCACTGAAATCAAACACTGATCAGGAAAAAAATCAAGCCTCATAAATATTATTTTTTATTAACTATGATGATTTATTTAGACACTTGAGTAGAGAAGAAAAGGCTCTGGATTGAGAACAACATACAGTACAACCGAGGCACAGCTTGTCTTTGTTTATGTTGTTTATGCTCAACAACAAAACACAAACAACAGAGTCAATTCATATTTTTGTCTCTCTGGCAGATCCAGCTCCCCCATCAGCTCCATTCTCTCCAGGTCAGCCGATGTACCCTATCCAGCCCCGCGGTGTGTGAATTACAGTGAGGCTTACTATTTAGCCTTGACTTGTCACCCAGCTGCATTATTTAGTCAAATCAGATTTGATTTATTTCACCATCTTTAGTAAATGACCAAATAAATATAGCCTGATGATATTCTCATCAGCCTCTGCTCGCTTCCGGTTAGCATGCTAAAACGCTAATATGGCAAACATGGTTAGGCTACATTGAATTGCAATCTGGCTGTCAAACCTGAGCATGTTAGCTTTGACATAGGGAGTCTGTAAGCTATTTGTTCAAAGCACAGCAGCTAGTATAAATGGTTGGCCTTGGTGTTGGTACCAAGCCTGCATAATCATTCTTGGAGCAAAGGAGGAGGGAAAATAGCTGCTATTAAACTGTCTTAAAATGCCTATCACTATAGCTAAATTGGAAACACTTGTCAACACTGAAAAGCTGTGTATCAGACTATTTTATTTATTTATTCAATCTATAGTAGGCCTTGGTGTACAATAACCTGCACCTGAGTGAATTGTAATTTGCTCTTTATTTGTGATAATACCACTTCAAGGCAGCAGGGGGCAGAGAGTGATTGATACTAGAGGATGCCAGTCATCAAATCACATGATAGGATTCAGCCCCATCCTTTCAGTAACCTGATGTGTGAAGACACTGATACACTGATGATAGTGCTCAGAGACACTAATCTCCAGTCGTTTTTAATCCTCTTTAATGTGCAAGTTTTGTTAAGGCAATTAAGTGCCTCTAAGATTTAACGCCACCACCAGGTAGCCTACATAGCATGAAGGGCTCAGAAAATATAGGATATTTATATTTCTGGAATAAAAACTCTGATACATGCTGCATATAGTCGTTCACCTGTCCTGGCCTATATTTCAAGGTTTAAATGAATTGTCAGTTAACGATAAAGTTGAAGTGACTGAAGTGATAATGAGGTTTGAACTTAGGTGCTTGTTGTGCAATTTGATAGGTGGGCCGTATTGAAGCAAGAGTTATTAAAGGTTTGGACAAAAGTTACTCTAACTTTTTCTACTCTTACTAAAAGTGTCAAATATTCAAAATACGTGGCTTAATCGGTGCTCAGGGGTTTATGCATGGGCCACATTTCTTATGTTATGACCATAGACTGTATTAAGGTTATGACCAGAAAAGAAGGTGAAGTTAGTTTCGACAATTAACAAACTGCTGTGTTTTGAGGATGCTATTTGCTACCTCTCTGGAGACTTGATGCCATACAAAGTCTAAAGAAGACAACGAAAAGGATGCCGTTGAAGATGGATGTCTGAACCATAGACTGATCTGAACAAGCTGCATGAATACTGTAAGTCGAGTCAAAAAAGTAAGATACTTCTGTTGTCTGCTTCCTGTCTGTTACCTACAACTAAAAGACAGCTGTCAGCTAGCTCAAGCCGGTTTCACTGTACGGTAAATGTCACTTTTATTATTTATTTTTTTACCATCAAGTAGGCCTATTCAACTCTAGTCAGTGATGCAGATGTTTTTTTTAGTTCTTGGTTGTTTTGTAAAGGCCTACCTGTTTGCTGTCTGCACAGATATAGACCAAGTAGCCTACTTAGTTCTTCTTCTGCTTTACATTAGGCTATAAGTGCATTTCTCATTCTGTGTTTTTTTTTTCTAAAATCATTTTAGCATCGGCTACAAACAATCAAGCCCCGCAATAACCTTCCCCAATCACTTTTGCAGTATCCCTCTTCTGGACCTGTGGGGTAGGCTACTCTCTAGAAAACTTAAAGCTGTAAGAAAACATTTAACATGACTACTGTTCTAAAAACAACAAATTCTAAACGGAGAAGATTAGGCCTACATGACTGCAAGGACAAAGCTTTACTTCAAAATCAAGTTGTTGGTGCATGCGACTGCTGTGTGTGAGGTTTATTGTGTGGAACAGTTGAGGTGTCACACTGACAGCTGCACACAGATTGTGTCAGAGAAACAGAAATCAGCTGGTTAAAGCAGCTGCTGCGGTTGAGAGGGGTATAACTTATGTGTCAGCGACTTGTATAGAAGTATTGGGGCTAAAACATTTAGTTACTAAAAATGCACGTCACATTTAATGCATGTTGTTGGAGCAATTTTCCTGATTATGTCTCTGCAAACATTGCTCTGTCACAGCGCATTCATTTCTCCCCCCCCCCCCTGTCTTTCCAGAAGAGCTAAAGGTCTGTAATAAAGTTTCCTGGGTCACTGTGCACATTTCGGCCCCTTTTGTCTCCCAGATTCATTCCAGATCGTTGCCACCAGACCTCAGACGTCAGGGCTTTCAAGCTCAGACTACACAAAAGCCTTTTCGATATCTGTAGCTTTTTAACTTTCGTATTGTACCTCCTTTTGATATTCTTCTGATCTACAAGCACCTGCAGCAGCGACGAGGGGCCACAGAACTAGGTAGTTTGGACTGTGTGAACTCAACAGATAAAACAGTCTGCTGTCTTTTCACCCTCTTTCTCTCTCGCTCTCTATTCAATTGCCTCCAAGTATCTTGACAACCTTGCCTGGTATTTTGGCAGCAGTCCCTTGAGTGTTGATGTCAGCTGAGAGACGGGAGGGAGGTGGAGGGACTGAAAGAGAGAGAGAGAGAGAGAGAGAGAGAGAGAGAGGGGATGGGGGTAGGAGTGAGCGGGCTATTCAAGGCACTTGTCCTCTGTCTCCCTCTGAGCTTAGAGGAGGGGGGAGGCGCACATGCATTGAAAGAAACACACACAGACACACTCTCTCTCTCTCACACACACACACACACACACACATCCTAGTGGCGGCCACATTTTCACAGCCTGCTCTTCAGACTGACAGCAGCAAACGGACTTGAGAGCCAGCACGATTGAGTGAGAGAGGAAACGAAAGAGAATTGGGAACAAGGTGGAAGAGAGGACAGAAGAAGGCAGTATTCCTTTTTCTTTTCTTTTTTTTTTTTTTACCCTCTTTAGCTCTTCTGGGAGCCATAGAAGGAATCTTTCCTCTGAACTTGCTCTGCTACAGGACCTGCACCCTGCTATGGCAGCCCTGATGGGACATGGGAACGCTGTCTTCCTCTCATCTTGTTCCTCTCATCCTTGGACTACCCTCCTCTGGGCTGTGTTGACCCTTTTTAGCCATGTGTGGGGCTTTAACCTGGATACTACTCACACGCTGCATAAGTTGGGAGACCAGGGCACATTTTTTGGCTTCTCTCTTGCACTTCACCAACAGCTAACCCCCGAGCCTCAGAGCTGGTGAGTGGCTGAATGCGGCACTGAGCTTGTCCTCAGTGTCCTGTGTGTGTTTTACTTTTTTGCTGCAGCTTACATACTTAAATGTGTGGCACCTGCTCCCTGCGAAACATTTTCAAAATACAATGTTTTACTTTAATTTAGGTTAGTTAGAAGCTGAGTTCTGAGTCAGCATTTCTGTGTTACATCAGTGCTTGCCTTTACTTAATCATTGCTTCTCCCATAACTTTGATCAGATCTGTGCGCAGGAGGTTTTAGCATGTTCATGTGCAGCATCAGAAGGCTGAGCTCTGAGATGACAGAGGATGATTTACAGTAAGTGGAGAGAGGATGAGAGGAGGTTTGCTGAATCAGCTGGCAGTGATTTCTCAAGAGAAGAGGAAAAAAAGGATCTTTCTGGGATTTGTCTTATTCTGGTACTTACTTTATACTAGCAGAATGAAGATACTATAGTGTGTGTGGCTGTGTCCAAAGAAGAGTTGCACATGTTTTCAATGTCGTTGGTTTAGAAACCCACAGGTTTCCCACAGCGAATGTATTCATACTTTATTTGACTTTATAGGCACAAATACAGATTGTACGACTAATTTGTTCAGGCGTTTAATAATAATAATGCAATAACTTCATTCAATACTTCATTTTGTACTGTTATCTATGAGTAACAGCTACTTATGCACATGGACCATCCATACCACTTTTTTATCCTGGCTATGTATTGTGGGCTCATGTTTTTTGTATGGGTGGGATATGTATGTATCATACCTAAATTTCCCTGCTGGGATGAATAAAGTATATCTTATCTTTTCTTATCTTATCTTAACATATTTAAACACAACAATTCTAACAGATGGGGCTCAGAGGACTTAAATTTATCAAATGAGGTCTGTTGTCACATTTTTGTCAGTCTAGGGTTCTTTAATGCGAAAATGTTCGACAACCTCTTATTTCTTTGACCATTGATGTCTCTGATCTACTGTTTGACGACAGCTGTTGTGATGCCTCTTCAACTGTGACTGGAACACTCAAAAGCCATGTTCCCGCTCTCCAGAAATCATGAATTAATGATAACAACACGGGTCAGAAATCTGTTGTTCTAAATCTTTGCCAAGTACTGTAATGTCATGGCTGTAAATAAGAGGCTATCTCCCCTGAAGCATCCCATCTAAGAGGTTGACGAGACAGTTTAGTATCTAGCACAGAGGTATGTAGTAATGTATAGTCAAATACAAATTCACTTGGCACATTTAAAGCAATCATAAGCATTACTCTGTTAACAACTGAACACGTTTTTGTTAAAAATATACTTTTAATGGTGATGCAAAATCTCAACTGTAGTAAAACAATGCACAAAAATGTAAAGAATAAAATGATCAGTTGTAAAGGAAGTTATTCAGATATTGAACTACATACATAAAAGTAACGGTACTATTTGAGAATACTCCATTATACAGAATTTACAAGTACAAAAATAATGTTTACAATAATGGTAGTATTAAAGTCAAAACTAATTGTCATGCAGATAATCTGTTATCTGCCATATTACAAATTTGTTGTTGCTTTGTTATGTTGTGTGATTTAAGGAGTATTTTGCTGCTTTAATAGGTTGTGGAGCTACTTAAAAGTAAACCATACTTTTAGTAAATCTCTTAATCTCTGACAATTATAACAATTATTGATGAGTATCGATCAATCAATCCCCCTTCAAATGTAGTGGGTTGAACTATAAAGCTGTATAAAATGTAAATACAAGAATGAGTTACAGGCCGCTGTTTTGGAGGGCCATATTTAACTTTTGGCTCCTCAGTTTACGGGGGCTGGAGTCGTCCTGTCGCCGGGGGAGACTAGTGACATCAGCATCACAGACATATTGACAGTCAGAGGAGGACTCATGTCACCCCTCTGCTCGCTGTCCGGCAACATTCCTGGAACTAATTTGAAATGACTGACTGAGAGCTTCAAGTATGACAGTAAAGTACGTCTACTATTATGGCCTGTTTCTAACTGCAGAGCAAAGACTCCTGAGAAAATGCCCATAATGCACTAGAAGAGTTAATGCCAGGAGAAAAGAGTCAATAAACTTTGCTGATGTGCTGATGTGCTGATGTGATGCATCTACTGGAAGAGAGTGAAATGAATAATGCTGTTGCCAGTATGCTGTGACATCATATTGACTGTATGACTTTATAATGAGTTCATCACTGTCAAAGAGCGACTAATACAACTTGAATTATTGTAGCCAGGTAAAGATTCTGAGTTCAAGAGTCCCAGGTAGACACACACATTTGACAATTTCAGTTCACTTTTCACAAATATTATCGAATATGGTTTCTAGATATGCAGATTATTGTCATGTGAAACTACCCACCTACCTTTGTACTGGTTTAGTTTAAGAGATAGGACAACTCTCAGCACCGTAGGGAACATTGTATTCTTACACCTGCAAAAACTGATATCTGGCCTCTTGGGTGCATGCACACATCATTGACAATTTCCTTCATTAATTCAGTGTATCAAACTTGTTTACAAACCTGTTAATTTATTCATCAAGCAATTATCTATACATAAACCCTCTCTTTGCACTGTTTTGGTCTCTACCAGCTGCAGCAGGACATATTTGGCTCCACTTTGGTCACTTAATAATCACCCACTTAACTAGTCTTTCATTTGTTGCTGAGCTGCTGGTGTCCGAAATGTTTTGGGTACTTTTGTAATTGCAAGTTGTAAGTAAAGATCCAAATAACAAATCTAATCTGTCAGCTAAACAAAGATGCAAACATATCTTAGACGCTATGTAAATCCAACGCGGACTTAAGATGAAACTGATTTTTCATTCAGTTATATTCTTCATTTTAAGAATATTAGCAAAAGCTGGTTGAAGTGTATCTGAAGAAACAAAGTGACTCTTAAGATAACCAGAAATAAAGTATTAATCAGGATAATTTATAAACTTTCATACTATTATCATGTTTATTGTATAGGGACAAATATGGAGGAAGCAAACCGTTGCCTCAAACAAACAGTATTAGTATAGCCTGTAAGCTAATTTGCAATGCATGCCATGGATTGGATTTTAAAGTTCATACCACTCAACAACAGACACACAAAAATGGTACCAAACAAGCACAACAATACAGGATACAAACTGAGGCAACAAAGTAAATCAAACGGCTTCTCATAAACAGCAGGAAGAATTCAAAACTACTCTTGTTTTACTCAAGATTCAAGACGAACTTTATTTGTCAAACAAAGCGAGGAATTTGTCTTGGGCTCTTCAGTACTCTTATTACAAAAAAACCAAAAGATCCATTCAAAAATTTTGCCATTTTGATTTGAAAGAGGATTGAAACAATAAGTCTGTAAAAGTTAAAATTGAAGTTCCTTATAGCCCACAATTTCCCTGACATAAGACCCCTTATGAAGACCCAGGAGTACTCAATAATACAACCCAGAAAACTCCATGAGTATGTTTCATCTGCACTTTAGACTCTTAAAGTTTGAAACATTTCATAATGTTGTGATAAGAGTGAGAGATGTATTATTCAGATAGCAACCCAGCAATGATCTCTCCTGTCTGAATAATACATTCCCATTAGTTGTGTTGTTGCTGCTCAGATTTGGGAGTTTCGTTTTCAAGGTGCCTCCATTATCATCTCTGATGTATCCACTTGAGACAATACGCCTCAAACTTACTGTAATTACACGCTGTTGACTCAGTTTCTCTTTATATGATGGAGGTTTGGGTTACTGTCCCCTCTGGTCATACCGTGTTGTGTTCATTGTGTGTTATGTCATCAGATTCAATGGTGAAAATGATATTACTGCTTTGATGCCTTGTTCAATGCTTACTCATGGCTGTATCATACAACCAATAACGGTAAAGAGCAAATAGAAATCAGCTTAGTCATACTGTCGCACTTTCAAGGTTTCTTGCAGTTTTGTTGTGGCAGAGATTTTTTTATTCGATCTTCAAGGGCTGGGGAAACATTCATCATCAGATATTTGGAGCGTCAGAGCTTTAGATAATAGCCTATTTGTTCAGCTTTACAGTATCTCTTCAGTACAGGCTTATGGCTTCCCTAAACTGCTCCTTTTCAGTATGGCATCAAAAGCCAAGGCAAAGGTCAAACCATGTGACACAATGATCTCATACTGACTAATGTGTTGCAACAGGATCCTTTTCAGTGACCTGTTTGGAAGAATGAAAAGTATGCCACACTGGATTTGAAATAGCAGCCTTGATTTGTCTTTTCAGCTCTCTCTTAACTTTTCAATACTGACTTTGACCTGAAACTGAGGCACGCAGCTTAACTTAGGGGGCTTCTCCGCCTGCTGTTAATGCCAGACACAGGATGAGATGAGATGGTATTTTAGTTTGAGTTATGTGTGCGTCTGCTATATATACAACTATGAGAAGTGCCTTCCGCTAATAGTTCACTGCCTGGTGAAGACAGGAAGCCATCAGAGCTTGATCTCACTACTGCCAATCTGCCTGCACTCTGCTACTACATGGCTAACAAATCAGTTCAATACAGCCGGTTCTGTCTTGGATTTAAAATGATCTGAGCAAGAATGAGTTTAGTTAAAAACGTTGTTACATAAAATCAAGTTTTACCGTCACATTTACAATCATAAACAGTGTGATGTAAATTAAAATTCTTTGTCGCCTAGGTGCATAATAAGTCTAAGAAATAAAAAAAAAGCATATTATGGTCATGATTTACGTGAACCCCTTCCTGCCCAACAGTGAGCCCTGCCAACACATTGGGCAGTCCAATGAGGGACACAGAGGCATAATGCACAGTTTTGTCGCAAGAGTACAATTCAAGGAGAACCAACAAACTTTCCAAACCCAAGATAAGACTTTTTTTTTTGGTAGAAAATACTTCAAGGGAATCAACTTTTGGCCGCATATCTGAATTCATGAATGTTGTGGAGTGGCTGCACTCGGTTGTCACACTAATGAGGGATGGGGTAGCAGTGCGCTAAATGGATAGCTTTGTTAT